CTCCAGCAAGTCCTTGGTGGCTTTCGAAATTCGTTCCAAGTTTCTTGTGCGTGGCATTGAGGCGCTTTCAGAGTAAAGATGAGCAAAATTCTTATTATACAATAGAACTGTAAGTGAGAATGAATTCAATATTAATTTTTTGTCTGTCCTACTTTTTTCAAGTGGCCTGGAAATGCAAACGTCCGTATCTAATTTGAAGATATTAACTGTTTACGCGATTTGTCGAATATTCATTTATTCGTTTATGCAACAGTTAAAATTAACCTTCATAAATTACTTCTTGACAGTTTTTTAATAAATGATCTGACTTTTCAGATTTGAGCGTTGAATCGATAATTGATTAGTATGTTCAGGTTGAGTGCGTACAATGCGTACAATTGTGGCGTGCGGCATCGCAACGAGATACGAGAGCTTGCGGACCTCATGCGAAGACATGCAAAGGGAATGCATGCTTTATGCGTAAGTATACTGAAATTCATAGGAGTGCTAAAATCGAACTTGTATTTCATAGGGTAGAACTAATAAGTTTGTCAGCACTATTAATGTTATAAAAATGTTTCCAAAAAAAGCACTGAGTATTTACCTGCTACCGTAATCACTATGCTATCGTAGAAGCTGTTTTTTTCAGGCCAATGTAAGCACTGCCCCGTATACCAATACATGTCCGGATGTGTCGTACTAACACCATGGCAAATCGCCGATTTGGAGGTAAGACGATTCTAACATCAAGTGAAGCTATCGAAACATGCTAAGATGTTCATTTTTGGCGAAGCTTTTTTTTACTTTCAGCTATGGCATGAAAACTTGTTAAAATTCCCTTTTTGGGCGAGTAAACTTCAAAAAAATCAATCTATCCCCAATATTAATTTCTATTCTATGTGTTTGTAAGTAAGTAAGTAAGTAAGTATCTAAGTAATCTATGTGAGCAATCATTTTATAGCTGTCAAAATTTAAATATTCATCTCTATGAAAAACTAGTTTGAAATTAGATGCGAAAATTACTGAAATGATTACACATTCCCAGATAGTTGGCTTTTTCCTGATGAAAGACAGCTAAAATGCTGCTAAAATCAATGAAACAACTCACAGTGAATATCAAATAGCAGTTTGCCGAAGGACTACGAAATAGCATTTTTCATTTTATTGCTAAATCTGTGCATAAAATCCTCAATGAAGAAGGAATCTGATTGAGTAAGAACAATCAAAAGCTACTCATAAACGGATATATTGATCTTGATTGAAAGCAAGAACAATGATTGACGAATGGAAGAAATTTCACAAGTTTTGCTAATCGATTATCGATTACTTAGATATTGTTATGAGGTTTTTGAACTTTGAATGCAACTAATACATTTTAGGTGAATCGTCGACGATCTGAGCTGAAGCTGAGGCGTGTTGGATCGGAGCTGTTATGTGAGGACACTTTTAATCAAACAACCTGTATTTGCAACAGGTATGTATGCCATTTTGGTCTATCTTTTACATATACGATTTGTACAAAACTTTAAGCTTAAAATCGATAATGCATCCGACCAGCAAAACAGAAAATTTTCTTTTTTTTTTGTTTCAAAATTTCATATTTAGAAGGGACAAGTGCAATTCGATGTATGCCCGTTTACCATTTTCCACATACGGTGAAGGAATATTTAATGGTGTCGTAAATTTTGATCAAATTATTGCCGAGTTGGATCCGAGGTACGGTAGGCGTACTGTGCTTTTGAAGCTGCTTAATCGATAACTTCTATATTTAGGTACCTCGAGGTAATCTCCGGTTATCAGTACCGGTTTGCTAAAAGCTCAACAACGGCTAGTAATATTACACTAGTTACTCTATTGTTATTGATTGTTACTGTATTAGTATGTATTTCGTTTTGATAATTTAAGGGAATTTTGTGTATTTACGTACATCAGACCTTTGTTTTACATCTACTTTGTAATACAGAATTGTTCACAGTGATAGACGTGCAAAGAAAACTGAAAATTGCAAATACTCAATCTTATTCCGACAAATTCGTTGTTGTAGATACTGTATTGCTGCGAAAATGTATGCGGGGCTACTGTAGCCGCTTCGAGAAAAATCATACTTTTTTGGCAACAGATTCAGAGCCTTCTAGACTACGAATATAACATTGCGGTAAATGGCGTTAAGTCGCGACATCTCTTCCTAATTCGCGAATAAGCTGAGCGCTTTCCGCGACATGAAAGCGATGGGCAAGCTAACTTCTTAAGAAACCTGAAGCATTTTCTGACAGCAGTTTGGTTTTAAAACTTAATACAATCTAGGTTGCTTGAAAATACCTAACCATTTATTTTTGCTTCCTTGTTTCTTCCACTTCGGATGTTTTCGAACGGGCTGCTCCCAATTTTCAAGCTTTATTTGCATAATTTTTTGTTAAAAATGCGGTTCCCAGGATATTATCGTGTACTTCGAAATGGTAGTTCTTGATTTCTAGAATTGCCTTTTGGCTGCTTTACTCTTAGAAACCTATTAAAGCACATTAGCCTTACAACTTCAACCTTTGCAGGAATTTTTTACCAAGCTCTTCTTCTAAACAACTTTACCTTCTAAACTGCTGAAAACTATGATTTATGTTTTTTCTCTTTTTTCAGTGAATGAAAAATGAGTGAGAAGAAAGGAATAAGGTGAGAGGTTATGCTAAAGGGAGTTTCTTTGAATGACAGACTAGCTTTTCTAGTACCTTACGTAATGACTGAGCATTTGAAGTGCTGCATAGCTCTTCTATCATTCTGCGAAGCGTTTCTCTGGTCGCGCTGCTGTTTTGGATCAAGTTTGAACTTTTGAGCATTCTAATCCAGGTCCTGTAAACCATTTCTGATAGAAAAGAATTTCCGTAACTTTTTCCAGGAAGGCGCTTCGCAGATATGGAAGGTAGTTTAAAATTAGCGTTTTAAGCTGTATGTAACGATATGTATCCCTTTTTGAATAGCCACTTTGACCAAGTATCGTTCCCTTTTCTTAAATTTCCTCCGCAGTGCTCCTTTTATAATCACCAATCTCTAATAATTTATTTTGGAGTTACAACAAGGGCAGTGAAAGTCAGTGCTAAGGTTTCATAATGGAGCTCACATACATATGAGAAATATTGACATTCAGCCCACATTTTCATAATATGAACCAAGCACATTTGAGTACTCAATTTAAGTCATCTTATCCAAAATATGGTGAAATTAGAGAGTAATATATTAAAGGAAGTGGGGAGACAGACGATGGAAAATTATTATCTTGTTTTGAAAATTGCTATGCAAATTCTGCAAAAGCACTGTCCACTCACTATAGAAATATTCTCACTCGCTTTTAGTCGCCCTGCTCATGACAGCTTTGCCATTGGCATTTTGCAGATTTACTAAATGCTTCGAAGAGATTCAAAAAATTGCATTAAATCCATCCTATCCTCAGACTATAGATTTTTTATGCCAGAACAATGATTTGTTGGAATCCGATAAAGACATTGAGTCTTCGCCAATTCGATTATTGACTGTTTCATCGTATTCTCGCAGCAAGACTAGAGCTATAAAAACAAAATAAATCTTGCCATGTTTCTGTAAGACTAGTAATAGTGAGTTATAAGAATTAAATTTGAATTCAAGAAACTTGCCAGTCAACATGCAAACTCATTTCTATTTTAGGAAGGATTCTGTAGATACTATATATAGTATTGTGCGCTTACGAATATGACAAGCTCTACTTTTCGGAATTCGTATTTCCATTCGAATTTTACGGAATTAGTGTTGTACGAATGACTCGACGTCGAGTCATTCGTACAATGCTCATTTGAGCACCTGTTGTGTGAGGGCACTTGTCATTGACTGCTTTTTGCAGAAAAAGGAACAAAACTTCACGAGCTTCAATACAAAATTAGCCGATTTAAAAGCTACTTTGAACAAGCTTCCTTTCTCTAAGCACAAGATTTTATCTCTACTTTATTTATAAGTCTCTATTCTCCCATGTAAAGAAAGAAAGAGTCCAATTTGTGTTATTACAATTTTTCTTTAAGCAACTTATAAATCATAATCATTTATTTTTCTTGTACGAAACGTTTGCTAAGACAATTGTCCCGCTATTCTCCAGCGATTCATCAACACGCCTCATTTTATGTTGCTTTTCTCGGCTTTTTTGACGTTGTGTACCTCGAACAAATCCATTTAAACCCTCCTCTCCAAACAGAAAGAGATGAACAGCTGTCGATCGGAGCAATGTTCAACATAGGCGTTACGTGTCCTAATGGCTATTAGCTAGCTCATATTTTTGGTTTTCAGTCAGTGCGACTTCTGCCAGGTCTTTAGAAAAATCTCTAGCATTAGTCTTGTTATATTAAGATAACCCTCACATTGTCTTCTTTCAAAGTTTCGAAACTCTTTGGATTTTTTAACTACCAAATCTATTCTCAAATTCTATTTACTGAGTTTTTTATTCAGGGACATGCTCAAAAATTGCGAGAAACTTTTCTTTTATGCTTGATTTCTTATTATTGGTTTATTGGGCCCATTTCCTCCT